AACCACGCTCCGGGTCCTCATGGCTTTTGTTACACTTACCTCCAAGTCAACCCATTCTATCTCAGACTTCACTGACCTATTCTATTTTCTTCTTTTGTTATCCAGATGACTTTGTTTTGGTCGAATTTAGAAGAAAGCAGTAAGAGGGCAGTTGGCTGTGCAGGTATGATCCACTCATCCTCCAGTACCCCTGGCAGATACTGCTGCTACAGACATGAATGCTCAGCTCTGGTGAACATTTGTGTGAAATCAGGTGGGGAGAACGGTGCTGGTATACACTGTTGGTGCTTCTTACCACTGGAGGGACCAATAGTAGTCGGGAAAAGTATTCTAGATTGTCAGATACATACAGCATATACAGTGTTTGACAAGCACAGTACATTAAGCATTTTTGTACTACATTGAAAAATAGAATTGCCAAATAACAGCACACCAGTGGCAGAACAGGGGTGCCTGACCAGGAACAAAGGGGTCCCCGTGATGCGTTGCAGGCCGCCTGGGTCGCAGGGTGTCAGGTGGGCTGTGCGTGTTCTATGGTATGTGCGGTGTCTATGGTGGACTGTGCGGGAGCCCTGGTATGTGTGGAGTCTCAAGTGGGCTATGCGGGGTCTCTGATATGTGTGGGGTCTCAGGTGTTCTCTGCAGGGTGTCGGGTGGGCTGTGCGGGATCTCTGGTATGTGCAGGGACTCAAGTGGGCAGAGACCCAATCAGTGCCATACTGACACAACCATGAACATGTCAGGAGAGACACAAAAAGTGTCATACTAATAAGAACGAACATGTCAGCAGAGGCACAATTAATACTGTACTTACACAAGCAGAATCATGTCTGTAGAGACACAATCTCGGGTTAGCCAAAGGGTGCACCCAGATTTTCACTCTACCTCTGATTACAAAATGTTGTAGGAATTGGAGAATGAGAGTATTTGCAGGTATACCACAACTCAGGTGTGAGGGCAATAGCCTAACAGATTTTGTAATTATCAGGTTTTTCTTTCCCTGTTTACCCATGAGCCAGTAACATCAATGTCTCTCACGTGCCTTTTTAGCTACCCTCACTTAGATCCACACTAGTCATCCGCACCTCTAGTTCTTTCCTTTCTCGATGCCACCCAATACCATCATGGGAGATCCAGACTCTGTCTAAAATCCTTTTCACCTGTCAGATCAGGCATCAGACCTCAGTGCAGCACACAGGCAGCTTATAAGCAATAAAACAGCAGTCAGTTCCTTCCCTTTGTCCCAACTCTTTAAACCATGTTGCACTCACAGAAGGCCAAACCCCACTCCCCAATGGCACAACGTGCAATGGATTATGTCAACGCACATTGGGGAATGTGGAGGCACTCAAAGAGTGAAACACAAGAACTTACAAGTGGGTCAGAAGCAGAGGGGAAATGCCCCTAAATATGATAGCAATTGGAACCATGATATTTAACTTTGGTGGATGACTAGTTGCTAGGCTAGCAGCCATTGCACTCTAGGCAGTGGCCTGGTGATAAATTTGGACTCGGCAGTTTTTGGAAGTAACAGATTTGTGCATCAACTATGAAGGCATTGCAAGGGTTCAAAGATTTGTAGTCCTAATCTGGATAGAGCCTAGGGCAACAATGCTGTTCCTCCATAGATACAGTACAAGATAATTTTTTACCATAAACTCATGAAATGTACCATCATTTTGTATTTAACATTTTAATTTTAGGCAGCAAGATTTTATTTCAATTTCTTCTTTTGTTTTCTTTTCATTAATATTTATTGCCATGTTTGGTGATATTAGCAAACATGTATCACTGTGACAAAGAATATTGTTTTTCACAAAAACTACTACATCTTCTATAACTGGGCAACAAATACATTCAATTTGCAAACAATACACACATACAGACATCATTTCTGGGAACAAAATTAGGAAACATTGCACTGTAACACTTGTAAAGGACATATAATCTATAGTGTTATGTGCTAACCCTGGTCATGGGGATTTATGTGCTTGTTCGGAACGTGGATTATGTTTAGAAATGCCTTCTATGACTGCTATAATTGCTACTAACCTAAATAATAATAGTTTGTGTATTCATAATTGTGCTCTGTCCTGATTTGTGTAAATACAGCCATACACAATTTCAGAAGTTTGTGCTTTTTCTGTTATGGAAGCTGAAAAAAAGATGAAACCCCCCTGAACAATTAATATGGGTGTAAATACACACCTCCCAACATTATGGGAACTAAAAACTATGATTGAAGTTTGTCCTTATTGCTATCTGTGTCCCCAAGAAAATGTCTCCCCACATTCCCCAACTCTGCTGTTACAGTAAGCTTTTAGCTGTAAGCTGAACTCCACAGCTTCTCAGGAAGGCATGAATTCTTCCGTTCCCCAATGTTATGGTTTCTCCATAAGGTATACAGTATATGGAGGTTACACTAAAGTGAGACAAGGAAGCTCAGCTGACAGTAGAACCGCATAGGACCTGAACCTGATAGGGTTACAGACAGCAGTAAAAGGCTGGTGGAGGATCAAAACTAAGAATATTATTTTGGATTGCTAGTAATTGTCACATTCATCTGGACTTGTCTAGTAATTTTGAAAATATTTCATAGCAGAAAGCAAATTCCAGCAAAGTGTCTCTTCCTGTTCAAGCAGCAGTAACAGCTTACACGTTTCACCCGAATCGGCCTTAGTCACAGTTATAAAGCTATGGCTAGGGCTGAAACGAGTAAGCTATTACTAACGTTTGGACAAGATGACCTTACAATAAATTATTGCTGTAGGAAACATTTGTGTTGGGATTTGATTTTTGCTATAACTGGAGTTCTGAGAAGGATTTATACCATGCGCAGGGATGGCTGAGTACACGGGTCATACATGAGTTAGAATGGTGTATCTGTGATATAGTGAAATCATTTCATCATGCATCCAATGTCGGGAACATATCCCAAGATTTATTTACTCAAAGGAAATATTTTATATATTGCAAAACTCTACTTTTTCACAGATCTGAAAATCTGTCCTTTCAATCAAACTAGGATACAACATATTTCTGAGTTCTTGTATTGCTCCAAGGTGAAACCACATCACCTTTCTTCCAATACAGACTTGACTTGAGGTATAACAACATAAGGGGAAAACTGTGCTTTACCAACCTATAGGCCCCATACAGCTATTATTTTTATTGCTCCCATAATGGATGTGGTATTAGTGTTCCTAATAGAAAGTTTGGATATACAATGAGAAGCACTGTGATATTAAAGAGCTGCGTAATAGCCTATCAAACTTATTTTTGGTGTAATGAAACTACATTTGTCTTCAACTTAGACCGAAGTTTTAATATTATAGTGTAGGATACAGATCCAAGTGTGATTTCCCTTCTGACCAATGAGGTGAAAGCGCTGGCTGTACCACTGCCTTTCACCCCTACACATTAGACATTTTTGCATTCTCCCCTTGAATCCTTTCCACATTCAGTATTAACTCTGGATCCCATTTCACGCACAGTTATCATTTGAAAAGCTGCAGTGGCATTCTAATAAATTGATTAAAAATGTACCTTAAAAACATACTGGTGTTGTTCTCACTTTAAAGCAACATGTCTAATTTTGTTATGTTTTAGTTTCCATTAATATGTTCTACAAATAAATTGTATAGTAGTTCTCTCTGCAGAGCTTGTAAGGGATCATACAACAGCTAGTAATATATGTTGCATTCATCACAGTGGAAACACAGCTCACAAAGCGGAGACAGGAGTTTAATGTCTTCCATACTGTAAATAATGCATTTTCATGTATACACAAGATGGTTCTATGGAACTCAAAAGGAGAAGAAAGGCTTGTCGACTCTTGTTGTTTGCCATGTTTCTGTTGACCACACATCAATTGGTATAGAATAATTATCATGTTACATAGAACACTGTGCATCCACTGTACCGTATTCTTCTTCCACCATTATGAACACAAATCGGTGTCAAAACACACTGTATGGCGAAAAGTGTGTGTACTGCTGATCATCACACCCATATGAGCTTGTCGGAGATCCCATTCTAAAACTATGAGCATATGGAGTAAAACCACCCCCAGTGGCTATAACATTCTTTTGGAAAGCCTTTTTACAAGATGTTGGGGGGAATTTGTGAGAATCCAGCCATGAGAGCATTTGGGAAGTAAGGTTTTGATGTTGGACAAGACCTGGCCTGCAGTTGGTGTTACAGTTCACCTAAAAGGTGTTAAATAGGTATGAGGCTCGAGTTTTGTGCAAGCCACTGTGGGGAACCCCAGGGGTACACATGCGTCTTCAACACAGTCCGATATAAATAAACGGTTTTTATTTCATCCAGCGGTAACAGAACAAACAGCTTTCTTCAGCAAAACGGTAAAGTAAAAGGCTTTCCTCAGCAAACATCAAACATAAAGATAAAGTCCTTCAATAAGATTGCACTGCGTAGTGCGTTTAGGTGATCTCACCAAGATAGAGTCCACTTGCTCCTGAGCAGACACACACACAGACCTGTCTGTCTCTCAGCTTCCCCACTCCTCTCTCACCTGTGTTACCTTTTAACAGGAAGGGCTGTAGGGGAAGTACCTGCCCTCCCAAGTTAACCCCTTCTTTGCTCTCAGCCCTGCTGACTCACCACACCACGTAGTTCCACACCATACTCCTCAAAACATGTCTTTATGGACCTGGCTTTCTATGTGCAAAGTCATGCTGGAACAGAAAAGGGTCTTCCCCAAATGGTTACAGGAAGGTTATAAGCGCACAATTGTCTAAAATATGTTTGTATTCTATAGCATTAATAGTACCCTATACTGAAAACGCTTGAACTCAATAACACTGAGGGGTGTCCACATACTTTTAGCCATTTAGTGTACTATAGGACCTTTGGTGCACCCCAAAGGTCATACTGTAGTCATCACTATAATATTCTGTGGTCAGCAAGCAGCATCAACTATGCTCTTTTTCAGAACTATAAAAACAACTGTTCCCAGGAATAAATACTTCAAAAAAAAGTTATGGAGAGTAAACTAGTACAGAGTGGTTGCCGCTATCCAGAACAGCAATGGAACCATCCTCTATTACTGCTATTGCTACCGGGTATGAAAGGCCACTGGCAACAACATGCTTTAAGGCATTGCCTTTCTCCACTTTGTTTAAGCAAATGACGCATCGGTTATTTACATCTGCTACTAAAATATTTCCTTCTTGATCAAAGGCCACTCCAGATGTGTGCACATCTAAGGGCAGACAAGAGCTTAAACTAAAACTATCAATTTGCCTTAAGAGCTTCATCTTATTATTTAAAATCTTAATTCGAGTACTGGAAGAATTTTTGTTGTCTTTTGCCAGGTGTTCAACCACAATAACCGATCCATTAGCTTGGTAGATGGCAATTTCCTTGGGCTGGCTCAAGTAAGAACATATGTTAACCATCTTCTTGATGCAACCTTGGCTGAAGTCGGCAGCTACCAGAATAAGACTGTTGGCATCTGGGTCAGAAACTATGACTTCATTTTCAGCATTCACAGCTAAGCCCCAAGGTAAGAGGAAAGGCTTTGTAACAATCAAAGTACATTTTCCAGCTTGACTGTACACCTTTAGTGAGCGATCACCTGCATCTGTAACTGCAATAAATCCATCCAATGTGACCGCCACACTGACTGCATACAGTAGGCCATTTTCGGAACTAGACTTCTCTCCCATTTCGTGAACCAATTTTCCATTTAATGTGAATCTTGACAGTCTTTTTTTACCATCGTGTGCAACAAGCAGACAGCCGGTGCTGTAACAGGAAGCAATACCAGTAGGGTTGAAGAGCACACCCCAGCCACCAAAAGATGCACTCAGTTTAAAACTTGCAGAATTTAGTTTTGCTACTTGATTACTTCTACAGTCTGTGAATTGTCTTTCTTGGTTTTCAGGAACCACGCGCCCTATGATCTCCAGGAGATGTAGGACAGGAAGGCACACACTGGTCTCAGACTTCCTACAACCTTTGCGGCAGAAAGGACATTCTAGCCTCGAGTTTCCAGGGTTGCAGAGAGATGAAACACAATCCTGACACATGATGTGACCACAAGGAAGGTTCCTAGGCCTATATCTTTGTTGATGACTGTATTTTTCAAAACAAACCTTGCATTCAAGTAAGTTTATTTCCGTTTCATCCAAAAAATCCTTCATGGTCCTGATTTCTTTCTGTGATGGGGATGACATTGCTTGTAGCTGTAATCCTTCACACTACCAAAAGCTGATCACACTGCAGCATGTCACATGACCAGGAGGTCTGAAATAGTCAGCACTACTATTATAAGCACAATGAGCAAGCACTTTCAATGGCTTGTCGTGCCATGCCACCTATTGGTCTGAAATGTATACACAGCTTCTGTAGAAATGAGAGATGTTCTCTTTCCTATATGTTTTCCAAGTACACTTTACTTAAGGCATTCACTAACAATATGGAAGCTTGTATTCCAGAAATAATAGCCTGACCTACATCTATATTTACCTTCTTTCTATATCTCTACTATGATCACAATACTATTACCATACTGTAGTATAGAATACAGGCTCAGCTGGACATCTAGATGGTGCTTAAAACATTATTGTAAACCATATTTCAATTTTGTCAAATTATGTATTTTTTCATACCTAAAGTTTAAATTTTGCATACAATAATAGTTTTGTTAAATGAGCCATAGGGATCTACCTTTTGTTACCTCTTGGAGGGAACAAATCTCTGTTGGGGGTGGCTGCTTTTGCACTGCATACAAAGGAGGCATTTCATATTTTTATCATTCTTAATTAATTGCAATGTGAAGGCTATTTAGATGCATTTTTGTTTTTACAAAAAAAGGAATAAAATATGTAAAGTATTTTTCAGTTATCAGTCATTTGGGATTTCCTAGGATTAGCACATTTATTTTTTTAAGTGACATTAGTGAAGGTGCATATCATATTGTTTATTTTGTAGTGCTATTGTGTGGACATGATTTCTCCCCAGGCAGTTGCCTTAAAAATATAGTTTGTTTTCTTGCCACCTACCTTGAGAAGATGCGAAAATTCATGATTATGTGATAGTGTCAGATCTTCGTGGTCTATATCCAAATTATACTTCTAGATCACTGAGGCAGTGCATTGTTTATTATTCACAGCTCTAATGTGCTTTTTTAAATTCTACTAGTGGACTTTTAAAGCATATCTAAATCCCAGCTGGACAACATTTAGTTTGCTAAACAACATACACTGCGTGAGTTTGGTGCCCGAGTTGCGAAAAGATAATACAAGGTGAGACATATTTACTTTAAGAAAATCGGATTTTCAAGAGAGTATAAGTACACTGGTGAGGAAAGTCTTTACCAAATCACTCACTCCATTCGTTTATATATCTTGAACAGCTTATGCACAGTGGAAAATATAAATGTTAAGAAAACATAAAGGACATTTTCTACAATGTAATGATTTGATAAAATTATGAAACAGACCTTTTATATCTCTGAAATGAAGTTCATACGATATTTGGCCTTCAAATAGGCTTTAGGGAAGTACATTTATTATTACTGCCTAAGAGGCAGGGACTTTGTACAAATCTATTGACAACATATCTTAAAAATGTTTATCTTGCTTAAATGTTTGCAATCCATCACGAAAGAGATTTTGGTGTCACAAGGTATATTTTTTCATAGTAGTAATCAAGTCCCCACTGTTTCTGCCTGTCCGTTAATGCATAAATTTTCTTCAACAGTTTATATTTGCAGGTGGAACCTAAAACCATGGAAAGAAACATTACATTAATCCAACAAATGTATATACAGTGCATTCAGAAGTATTAAGACCCCCCTTCACTTTTTTAAATGTTATGTTGCAGCCTGATACTACAGTTTAAATTCTTTTTGTATCTCATTAATGTACACTCAGTACCCAATAATGACAAAGTGAAATGTCTGTGAATTTATTAAAAAGAAGAAAACTGAAATATCACATGTACTTAAGACCCTTTTACTCAGTACTTTGTTGAAGCACCTTTGGCAGCAATTACAGCCTCGAGTCTTTTTTGGGTATGACGCGACAAGCTTTGCACACCTGCATTGGGGGATTTTCTGCCATTCATCTTTGCAAATCCTCTCAAACTAAGTCAGATTGGATGGGGACCATCGGTGGACAGCCATTTTCAGGTCTCTCCATAGATATTCAATAGAGTTCAAGTCCGGGCCCTGGCTGGGCCACTCTAGGACATTCACAGAGTTGTACATAAGCCACTCCTGTGTTGTCTTGGCGGTGTGCTTAGGATCGTTGTCATGTTGGAAGGTGAACCCTCGGCCCAGTCTGAGGTCCTAAACGCTGTGGAACAGGTTTTCATTGGGGATATCTCTATACTTTGCTCCATTCAGCTTTCCCTCAACCCTGACTAGTCTCCCCGTCCCTGCTGCTGAAAAACACCCCCACAGCATGATGCTGCCACCACCATGCTTCACTGTTGGGATGGTATTGGGCAGGTGCCTGGTTGCTTCCAGACATAAGGTTTAGAATTGAGGCCAAACAGTTCAATCTTGGTTTCACAGACCAGAGGATCTTGTTCCTCACATCTTGAGAGTCCTCCAGGTGCGTTTTTGCAAACTCCAAGAAGGCTTTCATGTGTTTTGCATGAGGAAAGGCTTCAGTCTGGCCACTCTGCCATAAAGGCCAGATCGGTGGAGAGCTACAGTGATGGATGTCCTTCTGGAACTTTGTTCCATCTCCACACAGGATCTCTGGAGCTTGATCAGCGTGAACATAGTGTTATTGGTCACCTCTCTTACTAAGGCCCTTCCTTCTCTGCTGATTGCTCAGCTTGGCCAGGTGACCAGCTCTTGGAAGATTCCTGGTTGTGCCAAACATCTTCCATTTGAGAATTATGGAGGCCACTTTGCTTTTGGGAACCTTAAGTACAGCACAAATTGTTTTTGTAGCCTTCCCCAGATTTGTGCCTTGCAATAAACCTGTCCCTGAGCTCTGCACGCAGTTTCTTTGACCTCATGATTTTTGCTCTGATACAGTATGCATTGTCAGCTGTGAGGCCTTCTATAGAGAGGTGTGTGCCTTTCCAAATCATGTCCAATCAATGTAATTTACCACAGGGGGGCTCCAATTAAGGTGCAGAAACATCTCAGCAACGATCAAGAGAAATGGGAGGCACCTGAGCTAAATTTCAAGTGTTGTTGCAAAGGGTCTGAATACTTATTCCAATGTGATATTTCAGGTTTTCCTTTTTCATACATTTGCAAACATTTCTAAAATTCTGTATTCACTAAAATTCTGTCTCTATGAGGTAATGAGTGTAGATTAATGAGAAACATTGAAAAAGTGAAGGGGGTCTGAATACACTAAGTAGGATATATTTCGGTTCATCATCTGCTGTTTCAAATGTTATACTTTTTGTTTAAAACTATGAAGGCTGTCCAGAAAAGGCAAGTTATGCATGGAAATAGAATGGGTGGTAAACAAGATCATCTATGACTCTACGCAGTCCCCTGAAGTCTGAATTACATAACGGATGATTAACATAATTGTAGCATGTTCACAAGAACTTACCAAACAGTTGCTCTATATCAGATTCAGGGACATAAAATGGTGGTCCTACAGGAAAAAAACACTGCATTAAAGACATAGTCCACCTTTTTTAAAAACCTTTTTGCATGTGAGCTTGCAAAGCATTTCAACCGCGATCAGTTGATTGTAGGTGCTCAGGTTCCTGCAGACTTAGGCACCAATGCTCAGGTACCTCCCAGCCTGTATCCGTACCAAGGTACAGACTTTCAGTTGCTGGACGGCAGGAAGTATCAATGGACTACAAGTGGGTGATGTCACTGCACTTGCACTCCATTTAGAACTATGTGTCCCTCTGCTGTGGTGGCAGGCGGAACATGTAGTCTCTCCAGAATCTGTGAACAGATGACGTGGCTGTGCGCATCATCTATTAACAAGACACTGTGATTACATAAACACGTGAGTAGATGAAGGAAGGAAACGAGTTTGAGAACCAGAGAAGAGTTTGAAAACCTTACTGCACCACTGTTTTTCTTTTAGTATATGACTTCCACCTATGTAAATGTTTTTTAAATAGCAATCCATCTACCTCATGCAAGACATGAACATTTTACAAAACTACAGCCAGTATAGTGCTGCAATACACTACGCTCCCCAAAAAAAGTATGAGGTTCATGATAACTAGGAAGAAACTTAAAAGAGAACTATGGGGTAAGTGTTTTCCCCCCATAGTTCTCTTTAAGGTAATGGGAGGATATATACTAACCTCCTCCCGTGACCCAAAGCTCAGTATATTGGGGGCTAGTGCCCGCGATATACTGAGAGCGACGCAGCCAGGACGGATCCCGACAAAACTGTTGTGATCCAGCCAGCTGCGTGAGTGACAGCTGGCTCTGCCCATCTAGAGGCAGAGCCAGCTGTGCCTGCCTCTTCCCCCGTTCGTTCCTCCACTCAGCGCTGGAGGATCAGAGAGGGGGGAATCCCTGCGGGGAGCGATGGCTGACAGTCACCGCTCACTGCAGGGAGACGATCGGGAAGTGAGCGGATCGGCGGCATGTTTCTGCTCACTTCCCGATCAATAGAATAGACCTGTGACAGCTTCTTTGTCACAGGTCGGCTCTAACTATGAGGATGAATGGAAATCAGTCACCTCATACTTCTCCGTTAACATCTTTAGACCAATTTAAAATGGCACCAGAAGTCCATGAAATGTATTTGGGCACATATGAAGTAGATAAAGACTTAACATTGACTTGATTGCATTAAAACACCAAAGCTGTCACATAACCTAAAATTATTTTAGAAAAGACATTTTAGTTATCTTACCTGAGATCAACTTTGGATCATATTCAAGGACTACGAGCAGGTAACGGCTATCCTTATTTAGTAATGATAATAGACAACTGGTATACCTGTTCAAAAAAACATGTAGGGAGTAAAGAGGCAAAATTGTAACAAAGAACAACAAAAGTATGTGCAAAAAGTGTACTTCTTATCAGTACACCCATCATATTTCTGTGTATGTCTGGGATGGGTCCTGGATGGATGCTATGTATAGCCATTATTTGGGTTGTGGTTCCTTTAAGGGAATGACAAAGAGGTTTTGGGAGTATTCAGTGGCTCTCACCCATACAGGGTAAGGTGAGCCTTTAAAAAAAAAAAAGAAGAGAAAACTGGCTTCTAGTGATCCCAGGATTATTAGGTCCTGAAATCGGTCCGGGAATCTGGAGGCTTGGAAAGATTTTGGGTGAGACAGAGCCTCTAACCCTGGCTATGGGTATTTTGGGGCCTGGAATGATTAACCTACCTGCTGGGGGAGGTCTTAAAAGGGCAGGAAGCCAGTTAGCAGGTGTCTGTGAGGGATTGTTTGGAGCAGGACACAAGTTTGTGAGAGCTGTTGGCTGCTTAAAGCCTGCTAGGCTTCTGTGATCATGCTGGGCCTTCTTGGAGCAAGTTGGGACAGTAACCGTGGTGTGGGACATTTATTCGGGTGCCGAACTGACTATTGATCTGTTTATTTACCTTTTGCTGAAAAAAAAGTTGTTTGTGGTTTTGGAGAAAATATCTGACACATTCAAAACTCCAAAAATGGACTGGACAAGATTATTGGCACCCTCAATTAATATTGGGTAGCACAAACCCCTTGGACCCCCTGCACAAAATAACTGAAATCAATCGCTTCCTGTAACCATCAATGAGTTTCTTACACCTCTCTACAGGAATTTTGGACCACTCTTCTCTCGCCAACTGCTCCAGGTCTCCCAGATTGGAAGGGTTCCTTTTCCCATCTGCTGTTTTAAGATCTCTCCACAGGTGCTCTATGGGATTCAGATCTGGACTCATTGCTGGCCAGTCCAGTACTCTCCAGCGCTTTGTCTGAAACCATTTCTGCAGTATATTGCACCTACAATCCACTGATCACTGTTGCAATGCTTTGCGAGCTCACATGCAAAATTTTTTTTTAAAGGTGGACTGTTTTTAATGCAGTGTACCACCATTTTATGTCCCCGAATCTGAAATAGAGCAACTGTTTGGTAAGTTGTTGTGAACATGCTACAATTATGTTGATCATCTTTTATGTAATTCAGACTTCAGGGGACTGCCTAAACCTTGTAGAATAAAATATCAGCTTTTTTTTATGTTGCACGATATTAGCGCAACTCTTTATCAGACCCCAAAATTTAGTGAAAAATGCACTTAAATGCCCTAAAACACAATAAAATACCATTTAAAAATAAAATAGATACCCAACATGCCCAGGTTAAAAATTGTATGCGCCTGAGAAACGGCAACGAAATTCACTACCCCAAAAAGTCCATAGATGACATTTTAGAAGCCCCTACAGGTCATCAGTTTTAGGGATACGCATAAATATTGTCCCTAAAATGATTTATCTCACTCTGGCTTGCGCGGCGATACCCAACATGTGTAGCGCTATCATCGTTTTCATACGTAGGTGAACGTTCGGCGCTTTCCTCTCCAGCTTCCCACCGACACCCGAGATGCCGGACTCGGGCCAGTAGGAGGGGCAGCGGAGACCGGGAAACACGGCGGGACGGGGGAGGGCAGTTTACCAGCCCGTAGAAGAAACCTGGCAACAGCTGAGTGGCCAGAATCGCTTCTATTGTAAAGCCGACAGTCAGCTTTACAAATGTAAATTGAGTCCCTGCGGCTGTTCAAACTGCTCAATGCCAGTGATGTCATGAAGGGGTTAAAGGCCTCATTTCTTTTTCTGAAAACAGTAGAATGATGGGCTTTCTCAAAAAGCTGTAATTTTGTTTCGCCTGTCCACAGCACATTCTCCCAAAAGGATTTTGCCTTCCTCGGGTAATTTTTAGCAAACTCCAATCTGGCTTTTTATGTTTCTGTGTCAGCAGTGGGGTCCTCCTGGGTCTCCTACCATAGCGTCCCTTTTCATTCAGATGCCGACGTATAGTGCGAGCTGACACAGTTGTACCCCGTGCCTGAAGGTCAGCTTGAATTTGTCTGGAAGTTGATCGACGGTCTTTATCCACAATTCGAACAATCCTTCATTGCAATCTTTGATCAATTGTTGTCTTTCGTCCACGTCCAGGGAGATTAGCTACAGTGCCATGGGCTGTAAACTTCTTGATATTTTGCACAGTGGACACAGGAACATTAAGGCTGGGTTCAAACCTAGGCGTATCGAATATGTGCGTTTCGTGCCGCGCGTTTTTAACGTGATTCGCGGTACAAAAATCGTGCGACAAACGCGCGTTTCCGAGGGCTATCTGGCTGTATCCCAATGGATACGCGTGGCAAATATGCCCCAAAGAAGCTCCTGCACTTCTTTGGGCGTAGGGCATTTTGTAGCGCGTGCATAGGCCTGTAATACACCCAGGTGTGAACCATATCCATAGGAAACAATGGGATTTCGGTGTTTGAGCGTTTTAAAGAGCGTAGGAACGCGCTACAAAACGCCCAGGTGTGAACGGGGCCTAAGATCTCTGGCGATGGACTTGTAACCTGGAGATTGTCCATGCTTTTCCACAAAAACTTGGAATGCAATTATTTCTTGCAATTTGGAGACGGTACCAATCATTTTGTCCAGTCCATTTTTGGAGTTTTGCATGGAATGTGTCAGATTTGGCTTTTTTTCCTCCACTTTTTTGTGTCGTATCAATACAAACCAAAAAAATAAAACCATGAGAATGCCTAAACATTTGTAATTACAACAATTTTCTGCACGAGGTTGTGCATTATCTGACAGAAATGCAGGGGTGCCAATATTTTTGGCCATGACTGTATATAGGTATATCACAAATAATAATAAATACCAACTGTATACTGAATTACATTATTTTCCTTAAAAAAAAAAAAAAGATTGAGAAAAACAAATTGCATGTAAAATATATAATTGTTACTATTACAGACCGTTCCCTGTCACATGGGTTCACAGCAACCAGTGCTCCTCTGTCCCATATTCCATCAACCCTTCCAATGATTGAGCTTAAAAACATAAAGCAGGATGGTATTAATCCACAATTTTATATCAGTTTTACAATTATTTCAACTGAAACAATGCTTTGCATTTCACCATAATTCATTCCCAATTAATCTATTTTTAGGCAAAATCATATTTGTCCCTTTTTAGGGCTTAAAATTTGTAAATATCTTGCTAAGTTTGAACTGTCACTCCTGCCAAGAAGGACATAGTGGTGCTGCAGTCTTTTGCACAATGTGTTATAAAGTGGTCAGGCTCTAAGTACAGCTCTATCCAAAACATTTTTGTGGTAGATCAATATTCTAATGTGTGTGATTAGAATTATTAGAGTGATTAGAATTAGAATAGACAATCAACTACAGGAATAAAAAAAAACACTGCCGAAGCAACCCGGTACTAGACCAGGAGGAGAATAGAAAGCAAAACAGAATAGATGTGTATGTTTTATAACATTAGATAGAACGTTCAGATAGAGAAAGATGTGACCCTGGCAAGAACACAATTTTTTTTGACAATATAAAAATGCCACATGACTAAACAAAAATATAATGACTGAGAAGAGAACTAATGAAATTCATACTCACGTAGAAATGTTATACAAATTACAGCAGTACAGTGAAATGTTTCCAGAAATGCTCTGAAAATAGTTTAATAGAAACATCAAAATTAATGTAAAAGGAAAAAGATGTCATAATCAAAAATGTTTATCTTGCATGGTATTGAATTTATACTGACACATTACTCTTTATTTAACTAACAATACTACATGCCGAGGAAAGGCACAACAATCGGAACAAAATGTGTGTCCAGCTATGCAAACCTCACAATGGGATATTTAGAAAACAATATATAGGCCCAGACACAAAATATTCCTCCAACATTATCTTCTACCACAGGTATATTGATATCATAATAATATGGGAAGGTGACCCCAACTTGTTTCCAGATTTCATAAAACATCTCAATGAAAATGCAAGCTCACTTACTTTCACCAGCCACATAGACTCCTACAATATCGCATTTTTTGATCTTCAATTGTATAGTACCAATGATTCTAAAATTGCATTCAGAGCCTTTAAGAAAGTCAGTGCAAACCGCTATATTGATTTTAGGAGCAGACATCTTAAAAGCCAACATACCTCTTGACAATTTCAGAAGATTTAAGGAGAAGTTGCATCACTAAAAATTTTGGTAAACAATCTGCATAACTAATAAAGGAATTCAGAGAGAAACATTATCTGAAACATTAATCCACACAAACAGGGATAGAGCAAGAAGTCTTAACAGGGAAAGGTTACCATGTTTTAATCTAACACCTAAACAGACATCCTATAATTATATCAATTTTGTTACCAGATACAACACCAAACAAGGAAATCAAATCAAAAAAGAAACCCCATTCTCACTGGCATGATTCAAATCCTGTATAACAGCCATCTCAAACAAACTCTGCCCAAGACCTCTCTGTACTTTCAGTAAAGCTAAAACGATTCAAAATGATCTTGTCCCAAGTCATATAAAGACCTCTAAGGGCCTGTTCACATGACGTCTGGATTCTGTCCTGACCAGATCCGTGCGCTCCTGCACTAAAAATGCATCCCAATGTATCCCTATGTGTTTTATGGGCTACAGTTCTCACGTGCATAGTCCATTCAGGTCCGGACAGAAAAAATACTGCTTTCTCACATTTTGTCCGGTTAGGATGCGGTCTGGAAACGAGTCAAAAATGTGCCAAAAATGCGTAGAGCCGCGTTTGCAGGTCTGCTCCAGGTCCGGACCAGATCTGGTCTGGACATCGTGTGAACAAGCCCTAAGACGCTACCAAAAACAGTTAGGCCTACATCAATAAATTCTAATAGACAGCCTTAGCTTTTTATATCCAAAATGTATGGCCTGTGGCATGATACCCTACAGGACTGAAACGGTCACTTCCCTAAACACAAAAGAAACATCCCCTAATAAATCTGTTATCACATGTGACCCAGAATGTATGATCCATGTGTTTGAATGCCCCTGCAGTTTATAATACATTAGAAAAACCACACAAAAGCTCAGAGCAAACATCGGGCACCACAGAAGAAATAATCAAAGAAGGGTTTCTAGAACATAGAATCTCGAAATGTTACTCTTTGGTAGAAACCAATATCCTTAATAATAATGCAATCATTGTCACTCCCATAGAAGAGATACTGTTTTTCCACAGTTACAATAGGTTCAGATGATTACAAACCAGAGTCCTGGATTTTTTCACTCTAAAACCTTTACACACTTGAATAAAATGATGCAGCATGGAACAGCTACTTATCCCCTGAACTGGTTTATTCATACCTGAAACATACACTTCTAAGAATTCCTCAAAACATCAGTTATATGTACCATTATAGATCATTTATAATTTCCCCTTTTTTTTTTTTTTTTATTCTTTATTTTAATCACAAGCAGCAGAAGTACAACATCTGTAAGAACAATGCAGCCGCTGTATAAAAAGTCAAATAGAAGGACAAGTGCAAAACAGAAACAGAGCTGCCCTTGGTCTGAACAAAGAATTATACATTAATCTCAGATGGAAATAAGGCATATTTAATAGAGGTTAATCACTCCTGCTATACAAATGCATTTTTTCTGTCTCTGGTGTCTTGGGGAGCAAACTAATTATCAGCTTGACGTTTCCAAAGAACATAAAGAAGTTTGTAGAGAAAAAAAAAAGTGGGGACAGCTCGGAGGGGGAAGAGCATAGTGGAGAGGGGGGTGGGGAGGAGAGGGAGAAGGGAGGGAGTGGGAGGGTTGGGAAGAGACCATTCAACTTCAGGTTAGGACAGGGGAGTGTATACGCATTTGATGGAGTCTAAGCGCTACATTATGGTGCCACTGGAGACTGAGAAGAGGTATTTGTGCCAATAGAACCATCTTTTATTGAATTTAGCTTCCTGATGGTGTGAGGAGGCTGTCATGCACTCCATCCTCTCAGCTTCCCTTACTTTCAAGATCCACATTGCAATAGTGGGAACAGTAGTAGTTTTCCAAAGCAAGGGGATGCACATTTTAGCAGCATTCAGATGCATCAACAAGGATAGTTTATACCTTTTTCTTGATAAGGCAGACAAGTGGAGAAGGATAGCAGCCGGGTCATTCTGGATATCAGTCCCAGCCAGTGTCTTACATATAGCTTGTACATCTGCCCAGAATTTTCCCAGGAGAGGGCAGGACCAGAAGATATGTAGCAAGGAGCCCTCCATCTCATTGCAACGCCAGCATTGATTAGAAGTGTGTGGCCAAATCCTATGCAGAATGGAGGGAACCCTATACCAGCGTGTGAGCAGTTTGTAGTTAGCTTCCTGCGTTTTGCAAGCAATGGAGGCTTTGTGAGAGAAATATAGGATGTCTGCTCTTTGTTCCATCGATAAAGATAGCTGCAGGTCTCGTTCCCATTTAAGAAGAAATGGAGGCACATATGAGTCAGTGGGAGTTATGAGTAGCTTGTAGACCCTGGATAGAGAATGACTAGAGGGAGTTTTCTCAAGACATAATCGTCGAACAGCATAAGTGGCGGGAGGAGTGTGGGTCCAGGGACTACTCACTAGAAAGTGGCGAAGTTGCATCGATCTGCAGGGATCTAGGGGTGGTTCAACAAGTGCGGTTAGTTCATCTCGGGAACACAGACGGCCATTGATCAAAAAATTGTCATCTGCATTTCCCCATGTCCCTCAGTTTCTTGGAGTGTTCGTCTCCTCTACTCAGAGGGCAAACAGGATGATCCAAAACTGGAGACATTCTGGATGCCCCCTGACTCTGGCCCAGCAGACCTGTTATTGAGTGGAAAGCCTTCAGTGTCGGACCTATAAGGGGGTGTGCCAACTGGACCCGTATATCGGAGAGGAGCATCCACTATGCTATCGGAGATAGCATAGTGGAGTCTGGGAGAATAGTTGTTCAATGGGTATCCAAGGTTTATATAGGGCGTCTGTACACCAGGACACAATCCTTGCCAGATGGGCCACCTTATAATAAAGATTGGGATCCGGAAAAGCCATACCGCCATGCTCCTTGGTTAACATTAGAGAGTGGTAGGAGAGACGCAAGCGGGAAGGAGAGCATAGAAAGCGTAAAAATTCCCTTTGACCGCCCTGAACATTTCCCTCACAGGAGAGATGGTCAGCTTTTGCCAATCCCACTTTCCCTTTAGTTGGGAGGACTCAGCTATTACGTACCTAGGTATTAAAATCCCGGCTAATCTACACAACTTATACTCTCTCAATTTTGTATCACACCTCTCCCGACTGCGTCTAGATCTAAAAGAATGGAACAAAACGCTCTACTCATTGTTTGGCAGAGCAGCTATCCTGAAAAATTACTGCTCTACCTTGGCTTTTATACGTGTTTCAAACTGTACCTATCCACCTCCCTAAGGCCTTTTCTCTTCCGTGAATGCAATGTTTCGGTCCTTCCTTGGAACATCAACTCCCCACGGATTAGTACTCAAACCCTTACTGGCCCCAAACACTCGGTGGGGATTGGCTTTCCTCACATACTGCATTACCATTGGGCATGTCACCTGACCCGCGTTATAGACTGGTCCGTTCATGCCCCAAACAAGGACTGGGTACGCATAGAAAAACTCATGGCAGACATACCCATCAGCTCTTGGCCCTGGATACAACTAGTCCATCTCCCGACTCAGGTGCTAACTCACCCAACAATAGGAGCTTCCCTGCGTACTTTGGCCGCTGTGAACATCAGAAAGTCCCTCTCTTCGGCTCCCAGTCCCCTAACACCGATTCGCATGAATCCAGCCTTCCCTCCCGGTTTCCACTTGTCCTTTCTGCAACAATGGTCACCCGATGTCTCCCCGAATGCACACATGTTTTTTAATCATCAAGTGGAATTCCGTACTCGCGCAGACCTCAATTCCAAAAACCCTCCCTCGCCCATACCATGGTGGTCATACCTACAAATCCGGCACTTTCTCAACTCCCGTACCACTAGAGGCCTCTTCTCCCGCTCTTTAAGCCCATTTGAGAAGCTCTGCCCTTCCTCCCAGAGGGTGACCCATACAATCTCAGCGGTATACTCACTCCTTAATGATGCATGGATCTACAACTACAAACTTTGTTCACGCTGGTACAAAACCCCAGTCCTACTTCATAGTATATACCCAGACACCCCTGATATATGTTGGCGTTGCCACCGAGTGGTGGGTACACTCCTACATATTTGGTGATCGTGCCCACTGATTTCACCTTTTTGGACAGAAGTTCACACCCTATTAAGAACAATAACTGGTGTTTCCCTAGAATTCTCCCCAGCTTGTCTTTTATTGTTCCACTTCGATGACACTCTCCACATTTCAAAAAACTCCCTACCAATCCATTTGCTCAACGTGGCAAAGACGGTGATCCCTAGACACTGGAAATCATCACACCCACCAACCATCAGAGAATGGCTGTCACGAGTGATGTAGTATCGAAAATGGAGGAACTTATATTGTCTGGCAGAGATGACATGTCTAGATACCTCAAAACATGGACGATGTGGCATCTATTCAGAGACTAAGACGCATATGTTGCGCTTTGATGGTGAAGATAGCTTCCTCTCACCCCCTTCACATACTCTCTACTCCCTCTCTTTCCTATTTTGGGGGTCGGACGAGACCTCCTTCCCCTTTTTCCTGCCTCGTACTTTCAAGTACTTCCACCCTTCTCAGCCTCTTCTCTCTTCTACTTACTACCTCCTTCTTTCCTCTGCCCCCTCTCCTACCCATGATCCTTCCCCACCACCTCCGCCCTCCCCATGAACACCTTAATACCCTCTGAAAAGGACGATACTCCCATTATCAGTACAATAGCCCGCAAACGGTATGTCCCGATGGGTACAGCCCTCTTTGTCTCATCCCCCCCAGAAGATACAGGGTTCACAAAACTTTGCAGCTTTATGGAGGCCTGAAATGTTCCACCACTTAACCCATTTAAGGCTCAAAGTACTCATTGTGCATTGTTCCACCTGATGGATGGAAGCAAATCCACTTCAGCGGAACTGGATCCCTTCACGTATACCCCTGTCTTCCTTTATGTATTCCTTTAATGTCCCCCCCCTATTGAGATGTATTGAACCTTAGAGGGCGGTGCATGTGCACTAGACCCATGCTTGTGATTTCGCTTTGTTATCTCTCAAACAATAAAAATTACTTGTGGAAAAAAAAAAATTCCCTTCCCTGTTTGGAAAAGATACAAAAAATAATTTCCCTTTTTATTAACCATCTATTTTTTTTACGCATCAAAGATCATGCGGTAGTTGTCTGAATATAATAGCCGGCATGCAAGATTGGAACTGAGTGACTTCTCTCATTCAGCCAACAGGGCTGAACAAGTGAAATTTACATGTGTATAGCTAGCCTGAGTCTACACAGTTTATTTAAAGTGCGACAACCCGACAGCTCTGGCACAGAATACAAAGATAGACTCCAATTGGGCTGCAAACACATTTGGCATAAAATATTAAGAAAACCTCATCTGACACTGCTGAGTACTACTTTTGATATTGCTGGTCTAGGATGTATTACAAGAACCCCTCTTTGAAAGTTCTGTTATTAAATCTCTGAGCAAGTGAACTGTAAGCTCCATTGTCTATGATGCTAATAATAATCATAATAATCATAATAATAATGAGAGGCAACAAGTGTATGGTTCTTTGTTGATATGGATTATTGCAGAGATGCAACAATACTGCTTTTTGAAGACCAAGTACAAGTCTTTTGCCTCAGGTACTTGCCGATACTTTTTCTTAAACTGACTTTTATTTAGTTTTATTAAAACAATACAGACTAATGATATTAGGGCAGTTTCTTTATAATAATGAAGAACTCTAACTCAATCCATGATTATTCAGCAAAGGAGAATGGCAACCAGCAATAGAGGACTACAAATTCCATCAATCCATGAATATACAGCAATGGAGAATGGCAACCAGCAATCATGGATTGCTGAGATTTATAGTCCCCTATAGCCGATTTCCATTCTCTCGTGCATTTGAATAGCACTACGACATACACCAATAAGAGAAGAACAATAGGCAGCCGCAGTCTCCCTGGGACTGCGTGCGGCCTCTCACCGGGGGTTGCATGTGGAGCCCTCCAGGGCTGTACTAGCTATTGCCGAGTACTGGGCTCTCCAGGGCTGCAATCGCATCTCACCAGGGATGTATGTGCGGCTCTCCATGGCTGTACCGGTTGGTGTCGGGCATCAGGCTCTCCAGCGCTATATGGCAGGTGTGGAGCTGTCCAGTTCTGTGCTGGTCTTGGGAAGGAAGAGGAGGAGATGTGTGGCCGGACTAGAATGTGTGGAATGTGTGGCCTGACTACTTGTTTGGGTACTCATGAACAAGTAGTCATGAAATTGCCCTGTATCGACACCGATAAGATTATAGGTGCATCCTTTGTTTGTCAATTTGTTTCCATGCAAAAATCAATAAAAAAAAAGAATGATACTAATAGCAACAAAATAAACAATGACACCAAATAATAAAGCCATATATTTGGGTTTACCTTGAAAACCTTTGCCCCAGGTATCTCTGGTACTTCTTCTTCAACATAGGGAACATTTTGTTCTTCAAAAAATTCCTTTAAACCCAATTCAGCGACATCAACTCCAACAATGTTATGTCCCATATCCGCCAACCTGTGATTAATCAAAATGTGATTATTATCCATCTTACATACAAGCATTAATACTGCATTTCTAAGCAACCGCGTGTTTTTCTGTTGTAGAATATCAAGAAATTTAATAGCTTACTTGTAGAACATTTGAGTGAATCCTCCTATTCAGACAACTTTAATATTCTGTGACAACCTTTGTGTAAAACTGCCCTTAAGAAGAAGTTGATTGCAGCTCTCCTTAACCCTGGCTATGTGCCATCGTGGCAAGCAATGCAGCTTTAGCCAGAAACCATACATGCACACATGCTCTATTCTTCTATTCTTCCCTGTAAGGCTCTCTGCTGTCTATGTAACCAACTGTTGCAGTGTATACTGTGACCATTAACAAATGCTTAGAATGGAATGAACAGAATGTAGAACGGTTATAGTAGTTAAGCTGTTTATAAGATGTCTAATGGGAAGACAGTGGTGTACCATTTCATATCCACTGCTTTTCCACAAAGAGGAAAGAAAATGTTGAGCTTCTCCTTGCCATTTATCATTTCATTCAGGAATTCTGTCAATAACCTAAGAGCAAGAATAAACACAATTAAAATGGGGATTTCTGCTTATACACTGTTGTTCTAAAACAACAGACAATAATCAAGCTACTACTTTCGAATGTATATTTTGTTAAACACGTGAAGCTGTAATAAGATTTCACAAGAAACCAATTTGTAATTGTCCTCTGCCCATCCAACTCAATCCTTACATGAGCTCTTCCAAAGTTATAAAAATGACATACACAGACCACCAATTTTCTGTGAAAGATAACATTGGTTACATGGTCTGAAAGAGGGCAGAAGAGGTGTTGCTTTAGTAAAGCTTGATCTACGCACATGCAGTTTGAATGTTAACATCGAAGAGGATTTAAAGTATTATTAAACCTTTTTTTTTTTGCATATATCTACTGCTAGCACTGCTATGCAAAAACATTAAAAAAAAGTTACCAAAAAGATTATTACTTACCTGTGTCTCCGCCGCTCACTCCCGTCCGAAGATCTGAAGATTCTCCAGCAGCCGCGAAGGATTATGGGGCGGGCGCATGCGCAGTAGAGATGTTTGGCCGGGAGAAGAGGAGAGGGACACAGGGTAAGTCAATGCAGGCAGCGTGCACAGACTCAGTGGGACAGAAAGATACAGAAGTCAGCACTGGATCAGAGACCGGCACCAGTGCTGGAGGGACTCCTGAAAACTACTGGAAAGAAGAAGAAGATGATCGGATCAAGAGCCATCATTTAAGGTAAGGCCTTAAAGCAGCATGGGGGTGGGGTGGATGTGACTTTAAGAGTAAATGAATGGTGTAAAAAGATATATTGTATGTTGCATCTATTAATTGTCAAGTGTTTGAACAGGTGACTGAAAAATATTTGCATGATAAACAATATGGTCAATATACACAACAAAGACAAATACTGTACATAACAAACATTCTTACGGATGTACATCCTTTTCATGAAATCCAATACATCTCGTTTCCCATTTTTCCTTCCAGTCTTTTTCGGTAAGAACCCTGTCCTGTTTTGTTTCAGTGAAGTTAGGGCAATTAGACATAGTGTGAGCCTGTAAAGAAAAAACAATATCCTTTTATAAAGATAGATGAAATTATTACTAAATGTAAAAAGACACTGTCACCTGGCCACCTCTCCAGCAAGGTATACTCACCCATCCATGATCCTCTGCTGCCACCCTTACTGCAGGGGTCTAACTCTGAGTAAGCTTAGGTGCTGGATGGTGAAGGTTTACATGCCCCCCTTACCCAGAAGCTCAGCTCTAGTAGAGCAACGGAGTAAGGAGGTGGCTAGGAAACCTGGATGGGTAAATCCTGAATAGGCCTGAATTTTCCAGAAAGTTTTGGAACCAAGAACAGTCAAATAAAACCCTTAACCTTTTTTGGTTGGTGGCTGTCCACATAATGTGATGTCCCGCATAAAATACAGGACCCACTATTTTAGCTGTATTATATAGTTTGGTGTGTGGGAGGGGTAAAATAGAATATGCTCCCTCGAAATCAATAAAATTACCCATTATTCCACAAGGTTTTCTGCCCAAATCCTCCTGAAAGTCTTGCTGCTACTAGTATAGAAAGAAAGGTTGGGTCAAATCTTAGGATTTCGCTGTATCTTTGGAAGCAAGACTTGGGCATCTCATTTTAAAGGAAGCTGCCAAGCTGAGAGGGTTTAAGGTCTCCCAACCAGTTTGTAGGTTCTGGTCTCTTGGACAGCCTGAGGTCCAGAATGGAGAGGTTTTCTTTTATGTGTTTAATTAAATCAATGCCTTCTTGCTTGGTGGAGGCATTACGTTGTCTATCGGGTCTTTAAAGCTCGCAGTATCAAGTAGCAATGTTATCTGCCTATGCAGCCTCATAAATGAAGCGTCCATCTTGGCATGCCGCCCCGCTTCCTGATGAGTCCTCACATACACGCTCTCACCATCACCTGCGGCCTTAATGCGCTGCACGGCGCGCGGCTGGTGTTCCGGAACCAGGAAGTGGCGCACCGGAAGCGCGTCACCAAACAGACGCCCCGCTCTATGACGCGCCCGGCTCTGTGCAGAAGGCGGCAACGGCGGTTCCAGCCAGATGCACTACCGCATCGCTCCAGCTCAGCACACCTGAGGCAGCCAAGACACGCCGCTACCCTCCCGTGCAAGCCACCATGCGGCCCGCCTGGCGTCCAGATTCCTGGGAACAGCGCCCTCCTGGTAAGTGCCATCACCTTCCCTGGTACCTCCATACTGTAGTCAGAAGGCGGCCATACCCCCCAAAACACCGGGGTACACCAGTCGCCGCTCAGGATCTTTTGCCACTACTGCACACCTGGGGGGGGGGGGTCCCCGTCTGGAGCCACACACGCACAGTAGGATGGTTGCCCTCCCTGAATGATGGAGCGGAACCTTGGCCTATTCTCGGATGGGGGTCCGATAAGGGATCCCTGTATGCGTTGCAGCAGGTAAGTCCTGGAGTAGGTCCCAACGCATATCAGGGTTAGGCTCTGCCCTGAGGCACATGGAAAATGAGCCCTAAAAATAACAAACAATACAATGACCCTGTGTAGCCGGAGGAAACACAAAAAAAACTGAATTGGGATAGAAGGAGGGGTCTTTTTATTTAATGTGGTTGATGTGTTTCCTGTTGCAGGCAGGCAGAGCCTTATCTCATTGGCTGTCCTGGAAGATGACTGGGAAAAGTATTATATTCACCCAAACCTCCAAGCTGGTAAGCTGTCACAGTGCTCCCTCCGGCCTCTCTCCTACTCCGCTGCAGCTATGGTATGTCCCCTAGTGTCCTCAGGTCCTATACACAGTGTATTGGATGTGAAGACTCAAGGATCCTTAGACTGCTGCAGTGGAGGAGATGAGAGGTTCCAGGGACTGGTCTAAGAGCCAACTGGCTCGGAGGATCGGGTGAGCATAACTTTTTTTCTTTCTTTACCGTAGACAAAAATAAGCAGCTAACCCTTGGAGTGCAGGGCTAGCCCCACTACCCCAATTTTTAATGTTTGATCCTCTTGGTTACTAAAAAACGTCTTGCCCTCTCAGTGGGATTTCTGGTCTGCAGATTTTTGCAAAAAAACATATTTCAAGATTGCCAGAATTTTTCAGCAAATGTACAGTATGTGTTATTCAGTCCCACATGCATGATATGTTATTTGCATGGTCACAATAATGAGCTAATATTGTATAGCATGTGTACTTCTGTCCCCATTTCCCATATCCTTGCACATTTATTTACTGGTTAACAACAAGCTATCACTTTTTAAAACGATGCAGAAGAGCTGAGCTACAATGAATCAGCATATCTGTACTCTAGTAAAAACTGAACAGCAGTATAACTGGTATGTTCAGTTAAAGGAGAACTATGGGGTCAGGGCTTTTCCCCATAGTTCTCCTAAGGGTCACAGGAGAACACAATTCACTTCCACCTTCATTTTTTAGCCACCCTCTCATTAGTGCTACCCTACAGATCTGCAACCTAGCCCGTACCTCTTTACACCTGACAACGAGCCCAGGTCCACTCACTCCTATATGGGATAACCCTGCTTTTCCTCCTGGGGAGTCCCTCACTATTCTGTGTAAATGGCTGCACGAGGTGGGGTGACTGCCAACCACTTCTTTCGATTGGGTTCCTTTAAGGACAGACAGACTCTATTAGCTGAATGTAAAGCAAATGACATGGACTTTCCTCTCTGGTCATATTTTAAACTCAGGCATTTTCTTAATAACACACAAGATAAATTGCTATACGTCAGAGCTCCGACTCCATTGCAGTCTCTCTGCACTTCTAAGACACCCCTTAGACCAGGGGTGGCAAACTCAAATTCATCGGGGGCCGCATCAGCAGTATGGTTACGCTCAAAGGGCCGGTTGTATAGGCCTATGCATCTACTCTTTATTATCATAAATAGTTGCCTCTGCATTCAGTTGCTACTGGTGATATGGAATTGATAAAGTGATATGGAATTGGTCAGTATATCCGAAGTTTACTGCTCCACCTGCCATGGTATGTAACCATTGCAGTGCTGTAAAGGGCAGGTGCAGACCAGCATGGAGCCCACTCACACTTCTGTAGCAGGTGATGTAAATTTGAAAAAGAGGGTCACACATCACTGGTAACATCCACAAGAAAATTATTGGAGACTGCTCAGACCGAACACCATGGTGTCCTCAATAAAGTTCTCCTGTGGACGATACCAGCAGTCTGCAACCCTACTTTTCAACTGGCATGGAATTAAATTATACTCATAATAATTATAAGCAGACATCCAGAGCACCCCACTCCCAATACAGCAGATGTCAAGAGCCCTCCCACCATCAAAAGTACGCTACGTACACAGTGCAGGGGTCAGGATTGCGCCTAAAAATTCCTCACATCTGTACTCTCCCCTACCTTCCTACCTGGACCAGCTCTGGTACCTCCCTGTATAGGCGGCTCCCTCCCTTTGTATTGGGCTATAGTACCTTTTTTTTTTTTGGGCTATAGTGGTACCATCCCTCTGTGGGTGGATCTCCTGTGTTATCAGTACTTTGCTTTTTTTTTTTTTACGCTAAACTTTGAAATAGCAGCACACAGTTTATTAAGAAGAGGCACAGAACGCAGCCCGCTGGATGGGGGAAAAAAACTGCCCAAAAAACTGCCAGCAATCTCTGCCACTATGAACATTCAGTGGCATGCAAAAAAGCCGGCATCGCTGGCTGGAAGGACTGGGGAGGCGGGATGGAGGTGGGCACCAAAGCGGCATTGTAAGCCGTCATGGCTGCAGAAAGAGAGGAGGCGGCGGTGGAGGCGGAGACAGGGCGGAGGTAACCCTGCCTTATACATTCCATCTCCACACTTTTTATAGACTTATCATCTCTCCCGACTCTCAACCACCTGACCCACTGAAACTCAAATGGGAGAGAGACCCCGGGATCACTTTCTCCGACCAAGAATGGGAGAACATACATTTGAAAACATCTAAGAGCTTGATTTAATGTCTACACCCAGGAAAACAATTTCAAAATTAGATCTAGATGGTATAGGGTTCCCCTGACGGTACATAAACTTTTTCCCACTTGCAGCCTGCTTTGCTGGAGATGTGGAGGAGAGGATGGATCTTTCCTACATACAGTATATGGTGGTCTTGCCTGAAAATTCAGACCTTTTTTTAGATCAGTCAAAGATACCATCTCCAGTGTTTCCTGAGACCAACTGGATTTTACTCCAGCTGAATGCCTACTACGCCATACTACTGAGTCACCCCGACGATATAAGAAACCGTTGAAATTTCATATGTTGAACGCTGCCAAACAACTTTATACCACTACACTGAGTGGCCAGACTATTATGACCACCCCATCAGTACTTCGTTGGGCAACGAGAGGACTTTGTTGGGCCATGAGATGACTCCACGAGATGTTGAAAGGTGATGCGAGGAATCTGACACTGCACTGTTGCCCTTCTGTTGCCTTGTACCAGTCTTGCCACTCTCCGTTCTGCCCTAACATTGTCTAGTCGCTGACGGCCACAATTTGCACGTTCAGACCCAGATTTTCGGCTGACAGTCTAGTCTTTAAACACTTTAACAACAGCTGCTCTTGAACATTTAACGAATTCTGCTGTTTTGCTGATACTCGCTCCATGGCTTGAGCGCCAGCAAGCATCCCACGTTCAAAGGCTGTTGAATCGCGTTGTTTACCCATATCTTCAGAAACAAATCACTTCTACTGTCGTGGTAAACAACCTGCTTCCCTATTTATAATGGTCTGGCCCTCTAGCAACTTCATCGCAAAATTATAGCTAATTTGCCTACAAACGTCAGGTGGTCATAATAATCTGGCCACTCCAGTGTATATTGGAAATCCTCTTCTCCTCCCCCTATCAGTGAATGGTTTGCGAGAATTTATAAAATTCTTGATATGGAAGAACTGATTCACATTGCGCATGATAAGACATCCATTCATACATTCACATGGTCCTGCTGGATTCACTTCAAAACCATGTACTGATGTCATGTCCGCTGTTCTACCCCCATAACAAGACTTTTTCCCTCCTATTAATTTACTCCTGTAGCTTCCTCCAC